AAAATAAAAATAAAAATAAAGAACAGTCCCTACACATACATATATAAACTCTGTGACTGAAAAACAAAAATCCTCCATATAGAAACAAAAAATCTATCTGTACCGTACGTAGGTATACACACGCATAATTAAGCAATTAATAAAGAAAATGTATCAAGCAAACCTTCTGGGGTCTGTAATATTTATCCTCCAGTGAGCATTAGCAAATCCCATTTTGGCGGCCAGCTTCCGGTCCCACTGGAGCTCGATCTTCCTCCTTTTGGAGAGATTACAGAGGCTCTGCAGGTGGGCATCCATGGCGTCGTGGAACTTCCACCACGTCGCGTGGGCCACGTCACTAGCGTAGACGTGTTGGTCCCACACGTCCCAGTTGCAGTCGTAGTCTCTGTAACAGTTCCAAGGCTTGAGGCCCAGATAGTGAATTGAGTATAGCTTCGGAGGGTCGGACCCCAACAGCTGGTTCTTCACCCCGGCCTCGGCTGATGAGTTCGACCAGAAATTCTTGAGGAAGTTGATCCGCCTCGGCAGCCTGTGCCACCATACAAACACCTCGTTCAGGAAGCCTTGGTCCCCGCCGTTGTACGAGACTATCTCCTTCCTCTTTTGCATCAGCAAGCCGAACGTGCAATTCGAAGGCTCTATCACCATTATACCTGAATTGAAAATGGAGGCGTCGTTGCCAGTGGCAGACATCTGGGGAAACTGGAAAAGGATGTCGAGGTTGCGTAAAACGATGATGTCTGAGTCGATGAAGATGACCTTGTCGTAGTCAGTAAGCTGCCATAGTCGGAATTTGCTGTAGTTGTACTCGTTGTAGGAGTTCTTCTCTGCGCGTGGGTTTCGTATGCGCTTGATGAATCGGAGGGTCCACCCTGCCTGGGCAAGTGCCGCCCGTTTGGGTTCAGATATGGAGAGGTCGAGGAGGAGGATTAGGTCACGTTTGGTCCCTGTCCTAACCAGACTCTGGGCTAGAGTTATCGCGCCACACACGTACGATTCGGATGAGTGGAGGACAGTCGCGTAGGCTTCCCTCCTTACCCGAGTTTCTGCCGCCATAGCACCCTCTTTAATTGTGGATGTGTCGTAGATTCGATTGATCCCTGTTGTTGTCTGTAGCAATTAATACTCCCCCTCTATATAAATGTGTATGTGGAACGAGAATTTTTGGCTAAATAACTGGGGGTTTGAATTCCTTACAATTACAACAGAGTTGGTGGTGATAAGAACACATATGCTAGCATCATTTTTTAGATGAGAAAGCATTCAGATTTGAGATTAAACCAACCATATTGCAAAAATAAGCACACATACATACATGCATATCCAACAGAGAAAAAGAAAAAAAAAAAANNAAAAAAAAAAAAAAAAAAAAAGAATACCTTTATCCCATAAAGGCATAGCCAAAGCACAGGAGCCCAAAGGCATGGCAATTTTCTGAGCCAACCTCTCCACATTGACCCAATACTCCCACCAATCCCCTTCCCTCCGCACCTTCTCTTCACACCGGAAAAGCTCTATCATCGGCATACACGAACTCCACACCACCACCCTCACCCTCCCATCATCATCTCTTCTCCCCCTCTTCACCGCCGCATTAACCGCTGCAAGGTGCGCTTGAAGCCTAAACACGTCCCTATTCCACCCTTCCTCCGGATACTTACACGGCAACTTGGCCACAACCACATCAACCACACTGCTGCTTCTACTGTTTCTTTCAAAATCCGGCATTGGTATCTCGGGGCATGAGCACCCCGAATACTCCTCCTCCTCGTCTATCCACTCGGGAAAAATGTGCTTCCATTCCAACATCTCTGACACTCTCTCGAACAAGAACGGAACCACTCTCACCCCCCAACCGGACAACTCCTCCCCCTCCATTCCAACTGTCCCAATTACCCTGCCTTTTCCCATTACACCCTCCAACAATCTCGGTAGCATCAATATCTTCCTTGGAAACTTGGCCTGCCTCTTGTCCTCTTCCAGCATCGCTTTCATTTTTATCCCGTTTTCCTTCCAAATATTAAAAAACAAAAGAAAATCACATACTTCTTTTCTATCGACAAAATCACACAGACAGACATACACAATTGACTATTCATGCAAAATATATAGTTAAGCTCACCTTACCTTATGGCGGCATTCGCGCAACGAGCATCGAACATACAATGCAGCTCGCTCGTGGTAGTCGGATGCGGATGGGCAGAGTAGGAAGATTATGTAGAGAAGCAAGAAGAATGAGAGGAAAATCAGATTGATTCTCAGAATCAGAGACTTTGATGTGGGGGACTTGATCAGCTTCTTCAACACCATTTTTGTTTAAATCATAAAATTATAAAATGTAAGCTGTATAGATATGATGAGTGTAATAATTTGATGTTATATGATGCTAATTTATATACACCCACTTAGTATAGTTTCCTAGTCAGGTGTACAAAAAATTATCAGCTGATCATCACTGGATGCAGACAGATAAATTGTCACTATATATATATATATATATATATATGTATGGAGTCTTGATTTGGAGGGCTTAATCAATCAGGAACTATATATTCCTCCCTAGCTAGTATAAAAAGTGCCCTTGTATCAATGTGAATCAGCTTGTCCAAGACTTGAAGGTACAAACACCAACATCCTTATTAATCTTTTCTTGAAGCTACGTCATTCGTGTTAATTAATTTCGTGAAAAACTAAGTGATAATATTAATAAATAATAATGATTTTCTTTTTGTCCTAAATATAATAATCTTTGTTAGCATGTTTGTTTACTTTGTGGTTTATTGTTCGCTGCAGCAAGTATCAAAATGTATCAAAGATTTGGAATAACAACCGATATATATCTGTAATTAAATTAGTTGGAACATCATTAGCTAGCATGACTTTTGTTAGAAAAAGCTTCAGTTAGCAGACCAAATTTTGAATAATTGCATATCAATCCGGAGAGATTAAAGCTATTCATTATAAGGTAGCATACACTACAAAAAAAAAAAAAAAATTGTTATATTCCAACGGATATTCCAATCGTATAGCTTCCGTTGGAATAGTCCCAACAGATACATTCCGTTGAAATGTGTTTTTCATTTGATTTTTAGATGGAATTTGGTGATTCCAACGGCTTTTTACGTCTGTTGAAATATGCAATTTCTGTTTAAATCTTTATTTCCACGCCCGTTGGAATCGTCAAAATCCAATAGAAATTCCAAAAAAAAAAAACTGCTACGGAATATTGTTGTTGGAATTTTAGTTGGATCAATTGAAAAATTCCAACGGAAATAATAGCATTAATATATTTAACGGAATTTCTATTGTAATAATTATATTGGAATATAGTTGGAATTTTAAAAAACAGGACTGGACTACTTCTCAAGAACAAAAACTATATAATAGAGATATCAAATACCTTACAAATCATTTCATACTTGCTAATTGTATCATGTAGAAGATACGAAGAATTAGGTAGAACTAATGTTTATGAGTACAATGCAAGTTTTGATAATAATTGACAAATCGTGCATTTGTGTGGTTGAAAGTGCTATTGGTTCCAATATAATCATATCCTTGCAAAGACGATTTATGCAAAACTCCAACAACTTTATGGTTGCACTGTCAACAGCTTCTTACATGCAATTATAAGTCATTTCTCGAGATAATGAATTTCTACCAGCCTATGATTATCTATAATTTCCAAATTATTTCATTGATATGATTTTTTATATTTATTCATTATAATAAGATGTCTAGAATTCTAGTTTTAGGTTTGACAATCACCACACACCAGAAGTGTTCCCTCACTCAAAATTATAGAGTATGTTGGGCCATCACAATAGTAATATACGTAATTGTTGTACCAAATTATATTTTTACCGAGTAAGGAATGAAATTCTATCTCTCATGGAAGATAGTTTGGAATATATAATCAATGTCGATGAAATACAAAAATAAAATCAAGTCCTAAACATTCTAATCACAAAGTGTTTGTGAGAGTTTATCTAAAACCTAGCAAGAATTAGAGTAGCACATAAATTAAATAACTGGAAAAATATAAGAAGGTCTACGGCATCGGGAATACTCTCATCAAGTCCTATATCGATGTTGAAAGCATATTTGTCGATGAAGTTATTCGACAAGCTACACGCTTAGTGGTCGAAATTCAATAACTATTCGTAACAAGAGGACATACATAAACGATAAACATATTCAATCAAATAACACACAAACAATAATATTATGAACAAGTCTACCATATGCACGTCACGGTTGAACAATCTATCCCCTTTCGGTTCTTAATTGATTTAAATGAACTACACGGTAATCAATCGGTTAATACTATTATCCATCCAATACGCAAAAGTTGAAAAATTAAACTTTCAACAATATTGAAGACAAGAATCAAATCTCTATCCCTAGGAGGGTCGACTAACTCATGCTCGAATGAAATAAACCAAACAAATAAATTACCATTCGTAAGAATGTAGCGAAGAACAATCTTTACAAGTTTTTGTCCTCACTACGAGAATCACTTCTTACAAAAATGGATCGAAATACAAAGGGAACCTATATGAGTTGAAAATGATGTTTTCAGTTATTACAATTGAAAGTATAAAACAATAAACGTAAAATACAACTCGAATGAAGAAAGATGGGGCCGAGGCGAGATAACACTTTCCCCAAGTCAACCGCGCGACTGGCAGCGCGCGTAGGCCCGCGAGGCGCTGCGCGTTGCCTGTCCGCGGAGGCAGCGCTGGCAGTGCCCAGCGGCACGTGTAATATCCCGATATTTTATCGGTATAAATTATGTTTTAGTTCCGATATAATAACGTTATTGTTTATTATTTTCGAAATTAGTTATGTTCAGTCGGGATTACCGAAATTTATTTTCGACGTACCGTGTACGTCCGGAATAATTTTGGTAATTAAGCATTATGTTTAATTGAATAATTAAACATACATGAAGTGATTAATATTAATTAATCACGTACCTAAGGCCTAAAATTCATGCATTAAGGAAATTAATTCCAATTAAAAGCCCTAAAAGCCGTAGGTCTTATATTGTTGAGGTTAAGTTCAAGTTACTCATTTATTTTCCTAAGTTCTAAGAAACCAAGTTTCCTTCATTTAATTGGCATGAAACGTGGCAAGTGGTAAGGAATATTAGTCATTCTTAATTCTTCAAAAGAGTTGCACTTGGAAGGCAAAGAAAAAGCCACGTTAGTAATACATCATCTCCCACTCAATTCGGCCATCTATAAATTAAGGTAAGTTTGAGAAATTTTTCCCCCTTTTTCATAAGACATGTTTAGTATATGATACCCCCTTCAGCAGCAAGCAAAATTCAAAGAAAAATTCAAAGAAAAATCCCTCAATTTCTTAGAACCTCACGCGACAAATTAGAAGGCATCGCACGACAAGGTTGAGCATACGCACGGCTCACGCGAGACAAGGAGTTACGCCCTATTTTCCAATTCCGTCGAATGTTTCGAGAGGTAATCTTCCTTTCATGTTAGAATCATGTTAGTAAGGTTATTTCAGAGTTGATGTTCGGATTATATTCGAAAATTTCAAGTAAAGTCATGCTTAAGTTCGATCATGCCTAAGTAAGACCATGACCGCATCTCTTTCGATTTTTCCTGGCAACTCTCGAAATGTTGATGTTTAAATGTTCAGTTTAGCCTAATTTATGTTCAATAAGTTCAGAACGGTCGAAA